AGCATCCACCTCATTAACATTCAGGTCATACCGCACTGATATCTGTCTAAATTTTGAAGTAAATACGATTTCCACTCTACGAGTACTCGTAGGTAACATAACCAAGACCACCGTGGCATGGTTCGCGAATCTTATTGAAGAACTAACGAGTCCTGTACTCCTTATGCGAGATGAATCCATAGTGAAGTTGCAATAGTTACCGCATCTCGGAGATCACTTTCCTCTTATACTATATCGGTCATACATATTACACTATCTACAAATTGTTTTCTGTTGTAATTCTACTGTCGGAGGAGCACTTATGTGTTACTTATAGGGACAAACACGAGGTCCGCACCACCGAACCCGATCGCCTCTCAAGTTTTGAGCAAGACCTCCATGGATTCGCTTCCTCAAATATTACTCAAACTGAGGGGCCATCTATATATAATAACACTTACTATTAAATGACTCCACCTCTCGGGCTATTCCAGTATTAGAATAAGAATAAGGATAGGCTCGACAAAGAGGCATATATAGAAGTATGCATGCAAGCACGACAAGGCAACATCTAGATGACACATCGAGAAATACTGTGCCTCTCCTCGACCTACCGGCGAGCCTCCCGGACTGAGGCCGACATGTAGATCACACCTGGTAGCACGCAAACACACTTGAGGCCCTCCAATACCTTCTGTCCGTCTCTGCAACCATCCAAGACACACGACTACAACCAGTCCAGCCGTTTCATGATCCACTAGTACCAGACGCCTGCAGGCTCCACTCTGCAGAGCTCTCCTCATCTCTCCGTACGGTCACAGCCCAGTACTGGAAACACCTTACGGCTTATGCGGCTCAAGACATAATCCCATTGTCGGTTATCCACACATCACACCGCATCGTCGAGACGCACACCTCAAGGGAATTTTCAAGTCCTCGCCGGTATCGAACAACCCAGCCTTGCGTCAGGCTCACGCCAAGCTTTCCGCATCGAGACGGCACCACCCATCTCTCCTTTATCGGGCACTCGATTCCATAACCATCGTCGCCCAGTCGTGGCTTCTGGCTGCGGTAATCGGGATGTGATCACACTCTGATTCGGGACCTAATTAATATTCAGACGCCGAACTGCCTGACATCCTCTGATCCGGAATTATCTATTACACATTACAGGGTTTCTTGCACCGTCCGAGTCGTATGGGCGATGCCCTCAAATTGCATCTACTTAACTAGATTCCGTCGAGTACCACTGGAAGTAAAAGGCAACGATGGTGCAGCGAGGAGAATGCCGGAACAATCGTCCTGAGGCCTGAATAAGATCACAATTCAGCTGCCACCGTCGACGTCATCTGGTTGTGCCGCCTTCATTGAAGGAACCTTGATCTTCCGCACCATCTCCTACACAAAATTTATCTGCAACAACACCTCCGGATTGCTCTCGTCGGAATCCAGTTATTCCACCACGGACCAAGCATATCGAGATAGACTATCATTCATTCGTCAGCACCTCAAGAACGCGCTATCTCCCTCCTCCACATACTATAATGAAGAAACAGATTGGCTAACATTCTAAGCAAATCCTTTCTGTTGCTTGTTTCACAATCCTTCGTCACAAAATTAATCATTCAAACACAAAATGATTAATTGAGGAAGGCCTTGTAAATGAACATTATATGTATTGCTTTTATTACATGCTTTGGCCATTCCTCTTGGTCTCTATATAAATAACTATTGTACTCATTACATTTAATTTCAATCAATAATAATTTAATTTTCTCTGATCTGAATAACTTGATCCTTTTGTCTGTTCTCCCTGTCCGTACATCGTCTTCCTGTTCTATCAGAAATATTTTAATTTGAATGCTAAATATCTAAATATGCATTTATGAGAAAAAAATTTCACTTTGAGCCCTATGTACAATATCATTACTATTAATTAATTCTACCAAGTATAAGAGAGGTAACTTGGCAGACACTTGCCTATAATTCCAATCTATCCTTTTGAAATCTCTAAATTTTTAATAATCACTTGCGATTTGTTTGGAAATAGCTTTCTTGCTACTTCTTAAAATAATTTTTTTAATATAGAAATTTACAAAATTACTTTAAAAAAAACAGCACGAAATTTGTCTCAATAATAAAATCATAAAACCTTCATTATGCATTAACTTTCTCATAATCTCAACAAAATGTTAGCTGGGCACCACTTCTTTCACCAAGCAGAATAGATAGAAGAGGAAAGAAAAAGCAGCCTTCAGCTTTGCCGCATTACTATTAATAAAAGTACTCACTTAAATGAACAAATGATGGTATGCATATATATAAACATGCCGCTCAGTTAGTCCAGACGAAGCTCACTGAAGCCCTGCTCTCCAAAAGAAGATATAAATATATAAGACCTAACACTTTAAAGAAGATTTAAGGTTTTTGTTTGGGATGGCTTTCTTACTGCTTTTGAAGATAATTTTAAAGTACAATATTTTAGTTTTTGTGTTAGAAAGCTGCTTTAAAAAGCTCAAAAACGCGTGATCAAACGAGTCTTGAATTGAAAACTAGTACTGCATCCTCTGATCACTGAAAACTTGCTAGTGATGAACTTGTGCTCCTCTCAGAATTCCAAAGCACATCCATTCATGAGGTTTGACAGTTTTTTATAGACTGCGAGTCAGGGGCAACATTCGATCGTCAGAAGTGAAAAGGGAAAGTGGCAATATTTCTTTGCTTTGAGAAATTAGTTACTTACTGGCTTACATAGATAACTTACATATGTATATGATGGTATAAATTTAGTGTATTCATAGTAATTTAACAAAATGAAGTACACAACAAAAATATAGTACAAAGTTGTGTACCTGAAAATAGCGTAGACTATGTGGGGTCGGTTAATATGAATCATTTTTCTCCGCATTGTGCATGTTATGGCGATTTCTTTTAGTCTGATAAGAAAGATCATTTCTAATATTTTCTAAAGAAGGTCTTTTAGTCACTTCTGTCTTTCTTAAACATGGCATCTACATCTCGCTCCCTACAGGATCATCGGAAGGAGAATTATTCTGTGCGGGAACCAACCATAATGAGTCACGTCAACGGTACCGGAGTAGTACTAAGCACGGGTTAACATGACTGATTCTGCTGGTTCTAAACGTTCTGGCTTGTTCTTTTTTTTGTGTTGTTCCCTTTTTTTTTGTTATAGGTTTTTTGTGGGGTGATTGTGGTGGTTTGTATTTTTTTTGTGATGTTAGTTGGCGATTTTATTTGTTGATAGAGTTATTTTATTTTTTAGAGTCTTTTTAGGTCTACTTCTGTCTTTCCTTAAATAGGTTCAAATCTAACAACATCTGCTCTCCTACCAGGATCATCGGAAAGGAGAATTATTCTGTGCCGGAGACAACATAATAGTCCCGCAACGGTACCCGAGTAGTACTAGCACAGGGTTACATGACTGATTCTGGCTTTGGTCTCTAAACGCATTCGACGTCCCAACAGAATATTAATCATCGGAAGGGTCTGCCGTTTTATAATTCAACCAGCTAGGTGATTGAAATATGTATACAGCCCTTCAAAGAGGTGAGTTTTCCATGTAAACTCAATGACCTCCCATTAGGATGGAGGCAACTTAATGGCCTTTTGGACCCAACGCTTTTAACCCTTAAAAAAATGTCTAGAGTTGATTATTGTGAGCATATAGGTGTTAAACTTTAGCACAAGATAAACATCAAATTCTTACTTAACCTGTTTTATGAAGTTTGAATCAAATGGACACAAAAATACAAATATGCATTAATTCAATACCTTCTGGAACTCCAGAGTAACTCCTTAGCTTTCCGAAAACTCAACCATATGCAAAGAGGGGCTTACTTGAAATTCCTATAAACAGGGAAGTAAGAGTTCCAGCTTACTGAATTCAATAAGGTACCCAACTAATTAAACCATGAGCCTTCAATACAACCTCAGTTGCCAACATTGAGATTCCTTTCTGCCAGGGGGGGGGGGGGGGGGGGGGGGTGCTTTTAATATTTTCAGGCCTCAGCTGAAAAATGAAGAAGAGAAGAGTTTATCATAGTCAAAGAGAAAGATAAAAAGCTTTAATTCTATGTGATTGCAAATAAAAGAGTAATGTTCAAAGAGTATATTGTCTGCAATTATAAGAGTGCAAGCTGACCTTGTAATTATTACTTGTGAATATCAAAATCCCAACCAACGAATGGTGCACGATCGAAGGGTTCAATATCGGCCGTCCATTCAAACCACTCCCTATTCGCCCCTGATCTCACACCTATTTACGAGCCATGCCACTCCATAAAAAACTATAAATAGAGCCCTCATTCTTCACAAAAGGGGCTCAAGTGAAGAGTGAGAAGAAGAAGAGAAGAAGGAAGAGAAGGAAGAAGCTCCTCCTCAACCACCGCCGGAGCTCTTCCCGTCGCCTGAAGAAGCCGGAACTCTACCGAATTTTCGGGAAACGCCGGGAATTTGCAGAACTTTGTAACTTTGTGAGAAGTTAATTGTAAACTGATTGTCTTGATTTGTAAGACGGATCAACCTTTGTACTTCAAACAAACACTAGTTGAACTTTACAACTGGGCGAGGCCCAATGATTTTTTCCCTCTTTCAAATTTTCCATGTAAAAACCTTGGTGTTTATTTCTCTTTTCTGTTTGTGTGCTGAATATTCGTGTAACGTTCGGACGCGAATTCATAAACTCTACCGCCGCATATTTTCTAGCACGCAACACTAATAATTAATTCTACCAAGTTATAAGAGAGGTAACTTGAAGACACTTGCCTTATAATTCCCATCTATCCTTTGAAATCTCTAATTTTTATAAACATTTCGATTTTGTTTGGAATAATTTTCTTGCTACTTCTTAAAATAATTTTTGAATATATAAATTTAAAAAATTACTTTAAAAAGCAGTAAGAAAGTAGTCTCAAACGAAACCTTCATTATGCATTAAACTTTCTCATAATCTAAACAAAATAGTTATTGCACCACTTCTTCACCAGCAGAATAGAATAGAAGAGGAAAAAGAAAAGCAGCCTTCAGCTTTGCCTCGCATTAACTATTAATAAAGTACTCATTAAATGAACAAATGATGGATGCATATATATAAACATGCCGCTCAGTTAGTCAGACGAAGCTCACTGAAGCCCTGCTCTTCAAAAAGAAGATATAAATATATAAGACCTAACACTTTAAAGAGATTTAGGTTTTGTTTGGGATGGCTTTCTTACTGCTTTTGAAGATAACTTTAAAGTACAAATATTTTAGTTTTTGTGTTAGAAAGCTGCTTTAAAAAGCTGCAAAAAAGCCGTTCCAAACGAAGTCTTAATTGAAACTAGTACTGCATCCTCTGATCTGAAAACTTGCTAGTATGAACTTGTGCATCCTCTTCAGAATTCCAAAGCACATCCTTCAGTGAGGTTGACAGTTTTTTATAGAACTGTAGAGTCAGAGGCAAACATTCCATCGATCAGAAGTGAAAAGTAGTAGAGCAATAATTTCTTGCATTGAGAAATTGTTACTTACTGGCTATATAGATAACTCTACATATGTATTATGATTGTATAAATTTGTGTAGTCATATATAGTATAATTTAACAAAATGAAGTACACAACAAAAAACATAATAGTACAAAGTTGTGTACCTGAAAATAGAGTACACTATGTGGGGTCGGTTATATGAATCATTTTTCTCCATTGTGTCATGTTAAGAGGCGAATTCTCATTTAAGTCTGATAAAGAAAGATCATTTCTAATATTTTCTAAAGAAGTCTTTTTAGGTCTACTTCTGTCTTTCTTAACATAGGTCAAATCTAACACATCTGCTCTCCTAACAGGATCATCGGAAGGAGAAATAATTCTGTGCGGAGACCAAACAAAATGAGCCACGTCAGCGGTACCGAATAGTACTGAGCACAAGGTTAACATGACTGATTCTGCTTGGTCTCCAAACGACATTCGACGTCCGCACAGAATAATTAATCCATCGGAAGGCTGCCGTTTTATATACCCAAACCAGCTAAGGTGATTGAAATATGTATACAGCCTTCACAGAGGTTATTTCCATGACTCAACTCAATTACCTCCTAATCAATTAGGATGGAGGCAACTTATTGGCTCTTTTGGACCCACCTTTTAACTTAATAAAAATGTCTAAGTTGATTATTGTGAGCATATAGGTTAGAAACTTTAGCAAGCAAGAGAAACATCAAATCTTACTTAACCTGTTTTATGAAGTTTGAATCAAATGGAAGCAAAAATACAAATATGCATTAATTCAATACCTTCTGGAACTCCAGAGTATCTCCTTTAGCTTTCCGAACCTCAACCATATGCAAAGAGGGGGCTACTTGAAATATCTATAAACATGGGAAGTAGAGTTTCAGCTTACTGAAATTCAATAGGTACCCAAATAATTAAACCATAGAGCCTTCAATACAACCTCAGTTGCAACATTGAGATTTCCCTTTCTGCCTGCTTTAATATTTTCAAGCCTCAGCTGAAAAAGAAGAAGAAGAAGAGTTTATTACATAGTTCAAAGAGTAAAGACAAAAAGCTTTATTCTGTGATTGCATAAAAGAGTTATTGTTCAAAGAGTATATTGTGTGCAATTATAAGAGTGCATAGCTGACCTTGTAATTATTCTTGTGAATATCAAATCCAAGAGGTTTCGCAGCTTCTTCGATCTTACTGATGAGTTCCTTCGCTGGGCACTTGGATGTAAATCTCGTTTCTCTCTTTAATTCCTTTCATGTAAAATGAGGAGTATTAGAAACATTTAGCAATTAAAGTGAAACCGTACAATTAAGAGGGCTGTTATCATAGGAAAAATAATATTAGTAACCTTAATTTTTGGTAAATATTTGATTAAAGGAATTTGTCTTTATATCCTAATTTAGATTATTTTCATCAATATTTCCTTCTTGTTGTGTTCTCCTATATGCTTATTAATAGGCTTCCATATTCGATCAATGTGAACACAAGAAAATGACTTTCCTCGCAGCATGATACAAGAATGGAATTATCCTAACCCTAGCCATTGCATCGCTCTCCATCTCACACGCTAACCTAACCCCCCTCACCCACTCACACTTTCGCTCGCACCCCTGTGGTGCTCACTTGATCACACACCTGCCAGTTGTAGCTCATGATTCATTGGTTGCTTGTGCTCGCCCAATCGCAACCCAGTGGGTCCACCTTTCCTCATTTGGATTGCACGCACTATTATGTTGCGCTTGCTCTTACAACCTTGAAATTTTCACCATATCTCATATGTTACTGCACACTACTCAATCTTGTCACTCTCATTACACACATTAGAATTGTTCTTGCCCTAGGACTTGGATTCACCAAATACTATTGTCACTTTATCTCTAGCATTGTTCTCATGCTTGGAATTGGATTCATCAAATACTAGTGTCACTTTATCTTCATGCCTATAAGGGTTTCAATAAATTACATGAAACAACAAATTGACATAAGCCCAACTCAAAAAAGGAGGGTTCAAGTTGATCTAAAAGATTGCATGATTCAATAATAAATGGGATAAATACCAACCGTCCCTTGGCCCTTGATCTCATAGCCAGCATGGTGATATGTGGGAGTTTCACTTGGATCACGTTGTTAAATCTCAGCCGTCCCTTGGCGCTTGATCCCACCACCAACATGTGGATACGTTGGAAGCCCACCAGGATCACGTCGATCTCCTTCTATATTTGGGTGGTTGATTTAAAAAGGATTATATTAAGGCAAATATTCATAATTATGTAGTTATTTGTTTCTTTATTAAAACATTTTATATAGATCTATAAATAGGGATAGTTTTGCATAATAAAACTAAAGCCTTTCACCTCTTCAATTCTCTGAATTTGACATGGTATCAAACCCTTCATTGTCATTGTCATAATTCCGAGTTTTTTACTGCCGTGCCTTCATTGTCGGCCTTCCCTTCAGAAACCAAAAGGGAGTTGGTCCCAACTTATTCGTTCCTATGAACATCCAATCGAGAGGAGGAAGAGTGCTTCATCCCCCGATCTCTGCGTTCGATCGAGAGAGACGAACGATTTGTGCATCTCGTTCAGAGGAATCGAGCGAGAATTACGCGGTTTATGTGTTCGATCAAGAGAGACAAACATCTCATGAACCCCTCTCGCGTGCGTGCAACCAAATAAGATAAGAGATGCGCGCGGCTAGAAGTTTCTGAGTGTGTTCCTGGGAAGAGCCAAATCCTTGGATCAGTGGTCTTGTGTGAGCCTGCGAGGGACCGAGAGCTTGTAGCCCTTATTACTGTACATAGGGGTGCAACCGAGTCAAGCCGACTCGCGAGCCGGCTCGAACTCGACTCGGTAACGGGCTCGACGAGTCGGGCTTATCGAGCCCGCGAGTCGAGCTCGAACACGAGTTCGAGCTCGACGACTAATCGAGCTCGAGTTCGAACATGTCTCTGACTCGACTCGTCGGCTCGACGAGCTGCTCGACGCACGCGGAAATCCAATTCTGGCAAGCGAGAAATCTAATTCTGGCGAGCGGAAATCCAATTTTGGCGAGCGGGAAATCGAAATCTTAGAGCACGCGTGGATCTAGACTGCGAACGAGCTCGATACGACGTCGTCGGACGCGAATAGAGCTCGGAACGACGATGGCTTTACTCAGGACAACGATGGTTCATGGATGAGCTCAAGATGATGGATCTTGGTGGCAGAGCTCATCCAGAGCTCGTTGAATCTCGACTTGGTGGCAGAGCTCGTCGGATCTCTTGGTGGCAGAGCTCAGGCGACGGATCATGACGGTGGAGCTCAGGAAGATGACGGACAAGCTCGTGATGACGGTTCTCGACGCCGGATGTGACTTTGAGTTCGGGACGACGAATTTAGGTGTGCAACCGATTCAAGCCTTACGCGGAGGCGTTGGAAGCAGACGTGGACGCCGGACGGTGACGAAGCGGCATTGGCGACGACGCAGAACTGGCGACGACGCGAGCACGTTCGAGCTCGAATTGCTGCTCGAGAGCTCGACGAGCTTTTTTTTACTCTGTCGAGTCGAGCTCGAGCTCGACTTTTGAGCTCGACTCTAGTTCGAGCTCGAGCTCGAGCTCGGCATTTCTCAGACGAGCTCGGCTCGAACAACCGCTGACTCGAGCTCGACTCGACTCGTTTGCACCCCTAACTGTACATGCGGCCTCTCTCGTGCACATCTGGAACTTGTCGAGATATATAAAGTTGAATTATAAGATTCTGAGGGCTGCTATGAAGGCATGGATTGTCAAGGATCTTCTGGGGCACTCAAACATGGATGTGAAAGTTTCCATTGCATCTTGCCTCAATGAAATTACACGAATAACAACACCCGATGCTCTATATGATGATATAATGAAGGAGATATTTGGGCTGCTTGTTGAAGTTTTCAAGAATTTGGATGACATATCAAGCAGTTTATTTCTGGAGAGAGTTTCAATACTTGAAACTGTTGCAAAGGTCTAATCCAACCTTTTGATGTTAGGTCTTGATTGTGATGATTTGATATTAGAAATGTTCCAGCATTTCCTGAAGACAATAATGTTAAAGCATTCTAATATTGTCTTCTCCTCAATGGAAACTATCATAACACTTGTTTTGAAAGAGACAAAGTATTTATGCACAGCTTTTTTCATGTATGTTGGATGGTGTGAAAGTTATTGAAAAGAATATTTTGCACACAACCAAAAAGCTAATTGAGAAAGTACTTGTTAACTGTTCCTTGAAGTTGAAACCTTATTTGGCTAAATTATTTAATAACAATGGTGCTCAGTTAAATGATTATAGCAAAATTGTTGTTGTTGTATTTCAGGGGAAACATGACACTTTGATACAAAATGAACTAAATGCTTCTAGTAAAAATCAAGAAGCTAAACATAAATTATCTGAGTGATTCCTTTCTGACGACTCGACTCTGGGATCTACACAACAAGAAGGTGAAATTTTTCATACTGAAAAATATGTTGCTGCTGCGGATGGATCTTTCAAACAGGTGACAAATAATGGATCTTTTCAGAATGGAAATGGTGATTCTATGGCTACAGAACAAAAGGTTAAATTCTGCCATCATAATGATAATTCAAAGAGTTAATACTAAACATAACTTGGATTCAAGCAAAGCCTGATAAAAGGGCAGATCTAAGTTCTTGGCGGGATTGTTGAAATTCTTATTTCAGCAATTATTTTCTATTTCTACAGTTATTTCCTATCAGTTTCTAAATTAAACATCAATTTTACTTGGTTTTTTGCTAACAATCGAATTCAAATAATCATGAAGAAATTTGTACACTATTTAAAATAAAGGCCGCATTTCTACCTGTTCAATATCAAACAAATTTTCCAGATTCAGACCCTTTGACAAAGCAATCAGTTCAAACGCATTCAGAGCTGCTGGTTGTTCTTCTTTCTTCACCACATGTGATACCTGTCAAGTATTAAAACATCTTATGCATCCATAGGTGAAATTACACGTGCCAGATTCATGAAAAAAAAAAAATAAGGTCTTAAACTCACTTGTGAATCATTGAAAGCAGCATCAATGTCATCCAAATTTGTTTCATACTTTTCATCAAAAATAGGGGGTTTGTACCCTTTTCTAAACCATTCATCCTTCAATATTCCGGGAATAGTTATCCGCTGTAATCAGACAGAGAATTCAAAGGTCAACTATAGTTCATCTAACCAATGCTGATAAAAGTTAAGACAAGTGAATTTTTTAATTTAATTCCATATCAGAAAATTAAAAACTATATTGGTGAAAAATACTAAATGATTAACTCTCCTCATAGGCTTGGGCTTTTGAGTTGAAAATGGTACTAACCACTAGTGTATCTAGCACAACTTAGATCATCTTTACTTTACAATTCCTAACAAGTGATATTAGAGCCAATTGATTGGCTAAAATCAAGTCATTCTTGTGATTTTTTCCTCCCATAGGTCTTGGGTAATATCTATCATAATTGATAAAAGTTTAAGAGCGAGTAACTCTCATGATAGATCCACTTGATTGAGTAAGTTCTTGGTGTATTGATAAAACTTCAGTTTAAGGGAAATTAAAAGATAATCTAATAAATTTTTATGCGAGGGAGAGATTGTTAAGATATACAAAGATTTGAGCCTAGTCCCGATAGAATAATTGAAATATATATTAGTGTAGAAAGAACAAATGGTTAGCCCTCACTCATAGGCTAAAACTTTCTGATTGAAAATAGGTTTGACCACCAGTGTTCATAGGCCAAACTTCAATCCCTCCTGATTCACACTCCAACAAAAATAAAGTCAATTGAATAGAACTTGGGTATGACAAATTAGAGATCGAAAGGAAAATCACTATAAAAACCCTTAACATAAAAGATCCACTATGATGGAAATCCTATTGCATGGTTATAGCTAATAACTAAAAAAATTAGTAATAAACAAAGTATTTCTAGACCAGGTAAATCAACAACAACAACATCAAGCCTTAATCCCACTTCGTGGGGTCGGCTACCTGAATCATTTTTCTCCATTGTGTCCGGTTAAGAGTCAAATTCTTATCTAGATCTAATAAAGAAATGTCATTTCTAATATTTTCTAACTAAATCTTTTTATGTCTACCTCTATCTTTCTTAACATAGGTTAAATCTAATACATCTACTCTCCTAATTGGGTCATCGGAAGCCCACCGTTTTATGTGAATTTGACCAGGTAAATCATGATCCTAATATATTCCATGCATTCCTAACATATATATAACTACACAACATATCTATAGCAAATGTGGGAGACATCATATAGTAGTAGACGAGAAAACTCAGAGACGAGAGGAGGAAGAAGGAGACGGCTCTGAAACCATATGAACAGAGAACAAATGGTTTGTCATTATCACTAGTATTAATCTGTGAGCTGATACAGGAGGTCTATATATAGATCTGAACATAAGTCCTAATCCTAGATACAGGTACAAGAAGTGTAGCAGGTTAAATGTTTGTACAGGTACTGATACATTGTATCTGTTACTAAGATGGTCATCTTCCAATAAACAAGGTTCCACAAGAGCACAATACAAGATTTGTGATGACAATACGAACCGTCATAGGGTTAGGATCAAGAATTCTTGAAATCAACCTTTTGGCACCATAAGAAAGCCAGGAAGGGAATGTGAAGTCTCCTGTTCCTATCTGCATGTGCAGATTGATAGTATCAGAAAAAAAGATACAGTAATGCAGTCAGCAATGACATAGATAGCATGAACCTAATAAACCTTTTTGTACAAATTCATGATATTATCATCATCAAAAGGTAAGTATCCTGCAAGTAATACAAACAGTATAACCCCACAAGACCACAAATCTGCAGAATCTCCATCATAGCCTCTATCATTAAGAACCTAAATAGAAGAAAAAGGAAACATATGTGAAGATTTCTCCTAAACAAAAAAAATTATTAGAGAAGTCGTTATAAACAACTATGACCAGGTTAGATAACAATCAGCACCTCAGGAGCAACATAATTTGGAGTTCCACATGTGGTGTGAAGCAAGCCATCATCCTATATGCAGATAATCAAAATTTTATGAGTCCGGTAGAGATCATCAGCAGACAAGCAATTGAAAAAATATGAGCTTCTTATTCTAAGAATTACCCTGACTTGTTGAGAAAGTGCGCTTAAACCAAAATCCGAAACTTTGAGGTTTCCAGCTACATCAAGTAGAAGATTTTCAGGCTGCAAAAAGGCAGAATTTAAGACTTCCATAATATCAAGATCAAACATCAAGAGCATGCAACACACAGTTTACCTTTAAGTCCCTGTGAAATACACCCCTGCTGTGGCAAAAATCAACAGCATTAATTAGTTGCTGGAAATATCGGCGTGCCTCATCTTCTCTCATTCTTCCATGATTAACCTGTATAATCAATGATTAGCATTGCTAATCAGAATATTTTTAACTTTTAAACACAGCAAGATTAATATTACTTTTACAAATTTCTAGTTAACTAACAAAATGAAAGGAGTTGATAAATTTATAAGTCATATAAGTAGCACATGATTAAACCGAACTAGTCAAAATTAACATACAATTTTATCAAAAAGCTCTCCGCCAGTAACATATTCAAGAACGATAAAGATCTTTGATTTGCTGCCCATTACCTGAGAGAAAGAAGAAGAACAAGTGAAATATAAATAAGGAAAAGGAAAGTTTCATAGAAAGCTCAAAGCTTTCCTGTTATAACATGATTATTTACATAGGTTCATAACTAGATCCTGTATTGCTTGTTCAGCTTCCTAGAAAGTAAAGGAAGAAAGATGATGAACCTCTAAAAGCATAAAAAGATAAGTAGTTGTAGCAAGCACATGACAATGGAGCAGCTGTGAAACTCTTATAACATAGAACTATAAATTTTTTTTCATGCTCGGCATTTCATAAGGAACAAATTATAGAAATTCATGGCATAGTTTTCAGAGTAGGGAGCTAATGAAGAAGAAGAATAAAGCAAAATAAAAGTCCGAGGAGTTTAGTAGTGGAGTGTAACTCTTGTCCTGTGAAGCAAGCCATGTAAAAGCTCAAAGAAGTTAAAACATGGCTTCAATGTCTCTTTATAATTCTCATCTTATCCAGAATACTATATGATTTGCCATCTAGTTTTTACATAAGTGGCCTCATGGACAGGGATAAGCTTGTATAATCATAACCAAATAAAAAGACTGATCTAGAAAAATTGACAGTGACTAAGAAACTTCATTACATGGCAAAGTTGCTTCTTCCCAAGGGTAATAACAGTGCCGCAAGGCTGACATGAGTACTTCCATAATATAGATGATTATCCTTGATCATCTGGATGCTGATCTGATTGAAAGAACAAATCTATGACACTGAGAAGTCCCATCACAATACATGAACCAGTGAAGGTTAAAGTAAATTGAATTTAGATAGTACAGAAATAATCAATCAGTAAATAGAGCATTAAGGAGTTGTGAGCCAAAGGAAAAACCCATAATATGCTTTTATATCCAAGAAAACCACCCTTTGGATCCTCAGGGGCTTGGCTTTTAAGAGTAGCTCAAAAGCTTGATGATTAACAACTGTCTCCAATAGGCATATTGTATGTATTGTTGATATTGAGCCATCAATCATAATTTAAGTGTATAGTAAGATCATGAGTTATAAGTAACAAAAAAATAATTATGTCCATATGAAAGACTTATAAAACTACCTCGTGGAGGCGAACAACATTTGGATGCTTAATTAACTTCATAGTCGCAATTTCCCGCTTAATCTGCAAATAAAAGTAACAGTACGAGGGACTGGATGTCAAAATGGGAAAAACAGTGCTGGTGAAAAACATCTGTATCAGGGAAACTAGCACAAGAAGGAAGGACTTGGTTTTAGGGCAGTATTATAAATAATTATAAATGAAAAATCAAAAGTTATATTTAAAAGAGGCTAAGGCTTCATTTGGGACGGCTTTCTTATTGTTTCTTAAAACAGCTTTCTAGTATAAAAATTTTAATTTTTGTACTAAAAAGCTACTTTAAAAAACAGTAAAAAAGCGGTCCCAAACAAAGCCTAAGTCAAGTAGTAGACATCCTTCCTTCAAGCAGCATCAGCATGAAACACAATGTGAAGAACTTTTCAATACCATTCTTTACAATAAAATTGGGATAAGGTCTAATTCCAGTAAAAAAAACTATAATTAAGGATGCTTGCACCAAACTTAAGTGTCCAGAAAAAATAAAAATAAAAAACAAGCAATAAAAAGACATATGAAAAAGGAAATCACAAGTAAGAGTTAGACAAATAGATATACTTAGCCAGCCTACATAATTTTAAATATTTGAAAAAGTAGAAATAATCTGAGTTTCCAGTCCCGATTTAGAAGCACACATTAGGCATCAAATCTTTCAATTCTTCCATAAATAAAAATCCTATATTATCAGGAAGCAAACAAGCAAATGACAAGTGATAAGGATCCCATCAATCTGGAATACTTTGAAAATTTTCTACGCCGTGACCAGGAATAGAATAGCTAAGTTCTTCAGAATTATAACAAGTAAGCATCTGTAAAGGATCAGTATATAAGTAGTTCATATTGTAATAGAAATGGTATCCTAAGAAAGCAAAAGTACTATTGATACTCAAGAGTTAAAACATAAAGCAAAAAAGAAATGATAAAGCCTTAAAGAAGATGTGGGTAATTCAGAATCCAGAAAAGACCTGCTCAACTAATTTGTGTTTTAAAATTTTCTCCTTATCGAGGATCTTTATAGCAACGGGTTCTCCAGTTTCAGAGTTCCTTGCAAATCTCACTTTAGCAAAAGTTCCTTCACCAATTGTTCGACCAAGCTCATATTTACCAACTCGACGGCTAACCTTTGGTGTGCTCATCTTGTGCATCAAGTAGGAAAGGTAATCTCTGCAATTTTAAAGCAGGTAAAACACTTTAATGCTTTCCAGCAGTCTCAAAACAAGATTAAACATATTTCTACACAGTAATACCAGTATGGTTGTAAAATCATTCAACTTGAAACACAAACGGGAAATAGATAATGCCAAGCCACTGAGTACAATAAGTACCACGATTCAAACCCCATTCCAAAAACTTACTTTTCCAAAACCCCTCTTTTAAGAGCAAAATCCTACACCAAGCACCAAATTCATTAAAAAAAAGTATAAAGAACCAACCTTTTCCCTCAAAAACGAAGATTCTTACTAAGTTCACCAACTCAAACCAATATGCAGGCGTCTGTTAAAGAAAGATCAAAACTTGACACTTTCCCAACCAATCTGAGAGCTTTCTCCTCCTCCTCCTCCCACGCTTCCAGCTACCAATACAAGAAAACTAAAGATATTTTCGTTGGAATTCAAAGATAGACGGTAAGATGTTTACGGAACGAGAGGCTGGAACAAATCAGTGATTTGATAGAGCTTTCAAATCCTTACTAAAGCTCTAACCTTTGCTGGCTATTAAATGGAATGGAGATAGTTTTACTGTCGCAAGTCCTCATTTCTCTTTCCCAGATCGCTTTTGTAGTGTAGTGCAGTACAATCCACATGGTGGCTCCTCTTCCACCGGAAAATTTACCCTTGCTTGCGCAGATGGCAGATCAGATCTGGTTACTGTATGTTATATTTTATTTTTAAGATAAGATAATAAAATTTAAAATTAATATATATTTTTGGAGCGGAACAGCTGTCGTTTTTCTATTTGATTTTATATTTTTAAGATTTTTTAAAAATTCGTAGGGTGATAATTAATTTCTAGCCGTCAAGCCAATTGGATAACTAAGGAGTTTTACCGTCAGATTTTTTTGAAGGGAAATAGCCTTTTCACGATCTGGTTGAGTCAATTGCAGGCAGCTATATATAAAATTAATTATAAAATTCTCATCAGAGAAAAAAACATTTTAAAATAAATATTTGTAAAAAAATTAAATGTTAGTGATACTTTAACGAAATCATCTAGATGAATCTCTATAGATTTTTGAATAAATTTTTTTCAAAATTAAATTTAGGAACATCCGAATTCGGGTTTCAAGAAATTTAAATTAAATTGATCGTCTCAACAAAGACTAACCCAACAACATTAAAAGTGAACAATCCAAATATGAATGAGTACAAATCAAAAAATTGAAATGTAGTTAAAAACCTCTGAATATTAATTGGATGACTAAACGATTTCTAAATCTTGCATGTTATCGTCAAATTGAGTGTCTCAATAAGGCAAATCTAATGAGATCAAAATACCATAATTCCAACAACATTAAGCCACTTAAATGTTGAACGAATAATCTATGATCAAGTGAATCAATACTAATTGTATGGAAGATTGTTTTGGATATTCTTGACGTTTATGGAGCATGACACTTATATATATACTCCTATTCTCTACATGAAAAGGGGTCCTATAGCTTGGACTTAGGCTTAAGATTTAATTAAGTTAAAAGGAGGCTCTAAGAATACTGGAGCTTCGATATTGTTGAACATATGCTTGATCGCTATCACAGAATCATCGCTAGATCACAACCAGTAAAGCACCACTTATTCGCCGCTATCAGAACATTGACTAACCACCGACGTTGGAGCACCGCACGACTTTCATCTATAGAACACATCCTAACAAAACAACTTTTTACAATTAATTATAAAACTCGAGCGCCGACCAACACGTTCTATAAATTATTTATATTTAGTTAGTGTTAAATACTTAAATATATTATGATTTAATATATTAAACATAAAGAAGAAGGCAAGAAAAGTAACGTGAAATGCTTTTTTTTTTCTGCCAGATTTATAAAATTTGGATTTTCTTGATAAGATGCTCTAATTTTCAATTGATTGAATTGAAGTGTGATAAGATGAGTTGGTGTACTTATCTCAACTTGCGTGTTAGATAAGCAAATCAATTAAAGAAGTAGGGTGGGGCCAAGAGTTTGTTTTAGTGGGGCATAATTTAATTATTTGAAATATATATACAAATTTTATTTTGTGATTTATTAATAATTTATAATATTAATGCATATAATATGACATATGTAATGTGATATGTATCTAATATATGTTAAACAAATTGTTTATACATTTTATAACAAATAAAACAAAAATAAATAATATATGTGTAATGCATTAAGAGAAATATTACAAATAAGATTGACGGGAATTATGAAAGAGTGTTATAGGTTGTTTGGTGTAAGTAAAATAAATGCATAGTTGTTGCCCACCGTCTATACAACAACAACATCAATCATTTATTCCACTACGTGGAGTCGGCTACATGAATTTTTTTTCTCCATTGTATCATATTAAAAGTCAAATTCTCGTTTAAATCTAATAAAGAAAGATCATTTCTAATATTTTCTAACCAAGTTTTTTTAGATATGCCTCTACCTTTCTTAACATAAGTCAAATCTAATACCTCAACTCTCTTAACCGGGTCATCGAAAGGCTGTTGTTTTATGTGCCAAACCATCTAAGGCGACTCTCTCTAATCTTATCTTCTACTGGAGCTACTCTAACCTTTCTCATGTATTTGCTCATTTCGTATCCTATCTCTAAGGGTAAAACCACTCATCCAGCTGAGCATCCTTATCTCTGTCACACTTGACTTAGTATTATGTTTCTCTTTTATTGGCCAACATTCGACACCATAAAGCATTGCAAGCCTCACCACCATCTTATAGAATTTTTCCTTAAGTTTGAGGGGTACTTTTTTATCGCACAACAAGCCCGATGCATTCCTCCACGTCAACCATCTAACTTGAATTATGCTAATAATATCTCCATCTATTTCACTATCACTACGAACAATAGATCCAAGATATCTAAAATGTATACTCTTATTAATGACTTGATCGCCCAAACTCACAATCCCCTCATTAGGTCTATTCCTATTAAAATTATACTCCATATATTTCGTTTTAGATCTACTCAAGCAAAAACCTTTATACTCTAAGGTTGACCTCAATAATTCAAGTTTATCTTCAACTCCCTCTCTACTCTTATCAACAAGAAGAATATCATCAGCAAAAAGTATACACCAAAGTACATCCTCTTGCAAAGGTCTAGTGAGAACATCCATGACTAAAACAAAAAGATATGGGCTTAAGGCTGATCCTTGATGTAACCCAACCGAAATAGAGAAATATTTGGTCAAACCACCTTGTGTTTAAACACAAGTAATATCTCCAGCATACATATCTTTAATTATTTGAAAATAAGTGGTATTAACTCATTTCCTTTCAAGAACTCTCCATAGCACTTCTCTTAGAACTTTATCATATTATTTTTCTAAATCAATAAATATCATATGTAGATCCTCTTTATATTCTATCTATTTCTCCATCAAACCTCTTAATAAATGAATGTCTTCCATAGTCGACCTATCCGACAAGAATCCAAATTGATTCTGAGAAATATTAGTAACATGCCGCAACCTATGCACCATAACTCGCTCCTATACTTTTAAAGTATGACACATTAATTTAATTCCTCTATAATTCGCATAATCTTGTGCATCACCTTTATTCTTAAAAAAAGAATTAGCACACTCATTCTCCACTCATCTGGCATCTTTTAAGTCTTCAAAATAGTATTAAAAAGTTTAATAAGCCAAGAAATTCCTTCATCTCCTAAGCATTTCCACATCTCTATTAGAATATCATCAGGTCCAATAACTTTTTCACCCTTCATTTTCTTTTAAAGCCTTTTTAACTTCAGTTTTACTAATATGTTGATAAAAATAGAAATATTTATTTTCATTTAGGGTGCTAAGGTAACTTGAATCAATCGTAAGTTCATATTCTTTATTAAAAAATTTATCAAAATATCTCATCCACCTTTGTTGAATATCATTATATAAGAAAAGTATTTTTTGATATTCATCATTAATACACTTCACTTGAACTAAATTCTTAATACTCCTATCTATTTATTTGGCTAACTTATACATATATCTTTCTCCCTCATTAATATTTAATCTATTATATAAATCACTAAAAGCTAAGGTCTATATTAACTCAAATATGTGTAATAAATTTTCTTATAAAATATGAAAATTTTGAAGTAGAGGCTTTGTTACTGACTGATGAGCGCTATAGTGTCAAGCCATGAACAATATTTGTGTGTATGTGTGTGTGTGTGTATATATATATATATATATATATATATATATATATATGCCTCACCCCATCGACTTTTTCACTTACTTGTTTAGCTAGGAAGAAATTGAAAGAGGTGGAGAAGATAGAGGAGAGAAAAAAGTCTTTGAATTATATTTGTCAATCATTATTATTAAAAATTTTGTTCTATTCATTGTAGATGATGAATCTCTTACTTATATTTTCAATCATTTTTATTTCTACAAAATTTATCTCTCTTAAATATAAAAAAATTACATTCACAATCAAGTTTGGATATATTATATATTTGATCATTCTGACTGATTTGATATAATTTTATTGTATTTAAAATGAAGTACTGAATGATATTAGATACATGATATGATAACTCTACGTGATACTCTCTTTGGAAGTCATAAAGAGTTGGAGATTGATTGAGAGTTATAAGGAGTCGGAGAGACTTATTCACGTGATTCGATGAGAGTTATAAGAAGTATATTAATTGAGAGTTATAAGGGGTTACTGATTGGGAGTCATAAGTGTAACAGCAGTTCTGTACATATCGTCCAGGCCGATTGAGGATCGTCCTGGGACGATCAGTTCAGATTTTGTTCCAGATTATGTACAGAAGTTACAGAAAAATTTTCCTGTATGGATCGTCCAGGCCGATCTGGGATCGTCCCGGG